CACACACCACCCCAGCTCACAGAGCGCACGCGCACACACCACCCCAGCTCACAGAGCGCACGCGCACACACCACCCCAGCTCACAGAGCGCACGCACACACACACCACCCCAGCTCACAGAGGGCACGCGTGCACACACACACACCACCCCAGCTCACAGAGCGCACACACACCACCCCAGCTCACAGAACGCACGCGCACACACACACACACACCAGCCCAGCTCACAGAGCGCGCACACACACACACCACCCCAGCTCACAGAGCGCACGCGCACACACACACCACCCCAGCTCACAGAGCGCACGCGCACACACACACCACCCCAGCTCACAGAGCGCACGCGCGCACACACACCACCCCAGCTCACAGAGCGCACGCGCGCACACACACACACCAGCTCACAGAGCGCACGCACGCGTGCACACACACCACCCCAGCTCACAGAGTGCACGCGCGCGCGCACACACACAAAACACTGCACCCCAGCTCACAGAGCACACAGCACCCCAGCTCACAGAGCACACAGCACCCTAGCTCACACGGCACACGGCACACGCACAGCACACAGATACACGCACTGCACTGCGGGGCTAGCACTCGCGTCACTGCCCTGGGCCCTTGTGGAGGGGCGGCCACGCGCGGCCGGGCACACAGGACCTCAGCTCACAGCACACGGCATGTGCGCGCGCACTGCGCAGCGCCCCAGCTCACAGCACACGGCATGTGCGCGCACTGCGCAGCGCCCCAGCTCACACAGCGCAAGGTATGTGCGCGCGCACTGCGCATCGCCCCAGCTCACACAGCGCACGGCATGTGCGCGCACACTGCACTGCGCATCGCCCCAGCTCACACAGCGCACGGCATGTGCGCGCGCACTGCGCAGCGCCCCGGCTCACACAGCACACGGCATGTGCGCGCACACTGCACTGCACTGCACCCCAGCTCACACAGCGCACGGCATGTGCGCGCACACTGCACTGCACTGCACCCCAGCTCACACAGCGCACGGCATGTGCGCGCACACTGCACTGCGCAGCGCCCCAGCTCACAGCGCACGGCATGTGC